CATAGTTTCACACAACTGAAGTTAAACCCATTCTGTTTTTGCTTCAAATTTAGAAATTACCTCTAATTTTACATGGAAAGAGCACAGACAAAGCCTTAGTTTGTTTATATGAAGAGATGTCTTTTATTTGTATTACTTATTTATTTGATTTTGGGCTTGTTTTAAATTTTAAATTTAGTTTTGTTATTTACATTTACATTAAATTTAAATTTTGTTATTTAGCAAACGCTTTTATCCAAGGTGACTAACAAATGAGGACAATAGAAGCAATCAAAACCAACAAAAGAGCAATAATATGCAAGTGCTATATTAGTATATTATTATAGTTTTATATTTAAATTTCACAAAGAAACGTACAGTATTTTGTCTAAGCAATAATAAAAGGACACATTTAATTTATAATTTGTCTTAAATCTCATTTTGTAAAAAAAAAAAATTGTGAATCGAATCGAATCGTGAAATCAAAATCGTGAATCGAATCGTGAGTTGAGTGAATCATTACATCCCTAATGAATGCTTAGATACACTGTAAAAAAATTCCGTAAAAAAATTTACGGTAAAAAAAAACGGCAGCTGTGGTTACAGGAATTAGGTTTTATGGTTTTAACTTAAATTTACAGTTAAATACCGTAATTTCATTAACTTATATAATGTTAATATACCAACCTATTGACATGCTGAAATCTGTTTTGTACCTTTGTAATATACTGATAATCACCAAATGCAGGTAGTGATGAGAGTCACATGATGAATCAAAGCCCATCACAAGCGGCTTTTAAAAAATAACATATCGAAGGTGCACAGTGTCATTCACACAAACACTAAACACCATCATGGTAACACACATGAAACTGAACTAATGCAAAAAACATTAATTTAACAACATTAGGTGAACCACACAACCCTAATATACAAAACTGATAAGAAAAAACTAAGAAGAAACATAGTTATTTCAACAAAAAAACATCAAATTTGAAATGTAACGCAGGGAATTCTGGGAATGTCAATTTACGGTTAATCACTGTAAATTATACAGTCTTTTTCACTTCCAAAAACGGTATACTAGCATAAAATTAATGTCCAATACAGTTTTCACCGTATATAGTAGGGGAATTTACCGTTAACCATTTAACAGGTTTTTACTGTAGCATTTTTAAAGTCTTTTACCATTAAATTCACGGTCATTTTTTACAGTGTAGGTGTCGTATTCCCATAGATTGATGGGAATCAGCTGAGAGTCAGCTGATGCGAGCTTGACTAACGTGACCTGCCAGAACTAACGCTACGCTAGATTTAATGACAGAATTTTCATGTTTGGGTGAACTATCCCTTTAAGACTGATTTTTACCACTTATGGTCCCCCGTGGAGCAGGGATTGGCTGTGCAAGCTGTTTATGCCACGTGCGATTGGTTGATGAAGCCATCTGACTTGAAGCGTGATTGGTGGATGGGATTAATCAGGGCAGCACGCTGAGAGCCGTCCCGGTTCATTTTGCATGCGATTGTCACTTGCTGTGCAAGGAGGACATTTGATTGTATATTCAAGGCCGAGGCATTGAAGATTAGAATCCGTTATGTTTTATCAGGTGAATGTGTGCAACATGAGGCAAAGCCAATCTCAGCACCCCAAGTAAACAATTTGCCATTAATCGCTCATCCTGTTCAAACAAATAGATATTGATTCTGCTTTTCAGCACTCGCTTGCCAGCAGATTTGTATCAGTGCTGCAGAAAAGGTATAAATTGTTTTTATGTCTGGCCTTTATGTGGCGTAATGTATTAACTCGGGCTTTGCATGAGGGATGCTTCGAATGTAACGGTCGGAAGTGTTCAGTTGATATTAGGGTCAATGGCGTGACACCCATGTTCTTTTTCTCTGGGTTTATTAAGGTATTCAGAAATACATTAAATATATAATTCATACATATTATTCCACTTCTAATGATCATGCTTTCAATTTCTGAATTAACATTGTTTGGTGTTTAAATTAAATTGTATGTGTGTGTCATCTACTTTTGTCTGCTACTTTTAAAAAATCTTAATAAAATATAAACCATACAATGTAAAGGGGATTTTTCATAGTTGTAAATAAAACAAACATTTTGTGGAGTCCAATTTACTTGACATGTTTAATTCAATGTGTTACTCATAATTTTTTCATAAATATTTGTGAAATTTACTAGCAATTACTAGAATTTTTTGAGTGAAAATTGTAGTGAAAAGTAAATCCTACACCTTTTTTTAGTGTATACTGTATACATGCAATAAATATTCTTTAAATAATACTACAAAGGCTATAACTCTTATATGAAATGCATTTATTGTAATTTGTTTAAAATGTTATAAATGTAATGATATTCATAATAAATGATATTCATAAGAAAAGAAAAGAAAGACAACATAGTATTTGACATTTATTTTCACCTTCTAAAAAAACTGATGCAGTTTAAGGAAATATTTTATTTTTGGTTATACATACACCACTTGACATTTTTTTCTTCTATATTAACCGGTTTGTTGAAATTTCTTCTTTTATTATAATCTCTGACATGTAGCTAATATTGGCTCCATTAATTGATCTTTACATTGTCTGCATGGACCTTTGTAATACACTGATAACCACCAAATGCAGGTGGTGATGAGAAAGTCATATGATGAACAAAAGCCCATCACAAGTAGCTTTTAAATAATAACATATATAGAAGCTGCACAGTGTGTCATTCACACAAACACTAAACACCATCATGGTAACACACATGAAACTGAACTAATGCAATAAACATTAATTTAACAACATTAGGTGAACCACACAACCCTAATATACAAAACTGATAAGAAAAAACTAAGAAGAAACATAGTTATTTCAACAAAAAAACATCAAATTTGAAATGTAACGCAGGGAATTCTGGGAATGTCAATTTACGGTTAATCACTGTAAATTATACAGTCTTTTTCACTTCCAAAAACGGTATACTAGCATAAAATTAATGTCCAATACAGTTTTCACCGTATATAGTAGGGGAATTTACCGTTAACCATTTAACAGGTTTTTACTGTAGCATTTTTAAAGTCTTTTACCATTAAATTCACGGTCATTTTTTACAGTGTAGGTGTCGTATTCCCATAGATTGATGGGAATCAGCTGAGAGTCAGCTGATGCGAGCTTGACTAACGTGACCTGCCAGAACTAACGCTACGCTAGATTTAATGACAGAATTTTCATGTTTGGGTGAACTATCCCTTTAAGACTGATTTTTACCACTTATGGTCCCCCGTGGAGCAGGGATTGGCTGTGCAAGCTGTTTATGCCACGTGCGATTGGTTGATGAAGCCATCTGACTTGAAGCGTGATTGGTGGATGGGATTAATCAGGGCAGCACGCTGAGAGCCGTCCCGGTTCATTTTGCATGCGATTGTCACTTGCTGTGCAAGGAGGACATTTGATTGTATATTCAAGGCCGAGGCATTGAAGATTAGAATCCGTTATGTTTTATCAGGTGAATGTGTGCAACATGAGGCAAAGCCAATCTCAGCACCCCAAGTAAACAATTTGCCATTAATCGCTCATCCTGTTCAAACAAATAGATATTGATTCTGCTTTTCAGCACTCGCTTGCCAGCAGATTTGTATCAGTGCTGCAGAAAAGGTATAAATTGTTTTTATGTCTGGCCTTTATGTGGCGTAATGTATTAACTCGGGCTTTGCATGAGGGATGCTTCGAATGTAACGGTCGGAAGTGTTCAGTTGATATTAGGGTCAATGGCGTGACACCCATGTTCTTTTTCTCTGGGTTTATTAAGGTATTCAGAAATACATTAAATATATAATTCATACATATTATTCCACTTCTAATGATCATGCTTTCAATTTCTGAATTAACATTGTTTGGTGTTTAAATTAAATTGTATGTGTGTGTCATCTACTTTTGTCTGCTACTTTTAAAAAATCTTAATAAAATATAAACCATACAATGTAAAGGGGATTTTTCATAGTTGTAAATAAAACAAACATTTTGTGGAGTCCAATTTACTTGACATGTTTAATTCAATGTGTTACTCATAATTTTTTCATAAATATTTGTGAAATTTACTAGCAATTACTAGAATTTTTTGAGTGAAAATTGTAGTGAAAAGTAAATCCTACACCTTTTTTTAGTGTATACTGTATACATGCAATAAATATTCTTTAAATAATACTACAAAGGCTATAACTCTTATATGAAATGCATTTATTGTAATTTGTTTAAAATGTTATAAATGTAATGATATTCATAATAAATGATATTCATAAGAAAAGAAAAGAAAGACAACATAGTATTTGACATTTATTTTCACCTTCTAAAAAAACTGATGCAGTTTAAGGAAATATTTTATTTTTGGTTATACATACACCACTTGACATTTTTTTCTTCTATATTAACCGGTTTGTTGAAATTTCTTCTTTTATTATAATCTCTGACATGTAGCTAATATTGGCTCCATTAATTGATCTTTACATTGTCTGCATGGACCATCCTCATGTAATATATGCTAAAATCTTTTGATGGACATTTTAAATATAGGCTGTATCTGATTCTTTCTCACTTTCATTTCAGTTCTCATTTTCCGGGTAGAGCGGCACTGAGTGTAGAATTACATACCCTCCCCCGTACAATTGATTTGTGAGTAATTAAAAATGTCTGCAGCTGGACATGGTCCAGCTTCATGTTCTATTCATGCAGATTAATACATATTTGTCGGGGCCTCCGGGATCAGACAGGCAGCAATGTCTGCTATTAAACATTCATGAGGGAGCAGAACACAGGGACTCATATCCTTCTGGTATTTATGGGTCCATTTCTACATCTTAGTGCCATCATAATGGATTACGAAATCAGAACATTATTGCTTAGCAGGGATGGAAATTTAATTTGTGTCACAAAAAATGTATTAATAAATGGCTTTTTCTTTGAAATTACGCTCACATGGACTGTGCTCGTGTCTGTGTGTGGGTTTAATACAGGCGGCTGGAGTGGATGGGGCAACTGGGCGGAGTGCAGCAGTGAATGTGGAGGCGGAGTTCAGTCGCGCACACGCACCTGTCAATCACCACCTGAGGAGGCATACCTGTGCGAGGGTGTTCTAGAGGAAGGTCGTCCCTGCAACTCTCAGCCGTGCATCGGTAAGTTGCATTCTAGGCTCATGCACGTTGCACGTGACTGTTCGTACATCCACTTCTTCTCTAGCTTTCTCTCTCTATCACTATCTGACACCTCATTTTTTACATTCTTTACATTTCACTGTTAAAAAAGATGTTCTGCTTCCTGTGTGACACAATATAGAGCAATAACGATAATAAAATGCTAGACTGATGATAGAATGAGCGTTTTTGTGTGCTTTTCATTGGACCCATAGGCTACAGGCAGTATTCCTCTAAAGGCAAGGGTTTAAGTCCAGTGAAATACAAGGAAATGCAAGAGGCCATGCTTGGTAAGGGCGTCACTGACCAAGTCAGTTTGAATGTGACTGTAGTGAGTAGATATTCACTCAGTTTGGATGGAGGCCATGAGTAAATAACCCACTCCATGGTCAAGGCCATCGGCTGCAGATGTCTTCACCTCGATTGTCTGTGTCTCCGTTCCGCATGGTCTGCTTATTTTTCATCCTCCATCCACTGCTCGCTCCATCTTGCCCTCTTTCTGCACACTTCCTGCCGTTTGTTGGTGTTCAAAGTACACGTTTCGAGGTCACACAAGCCTAGAAGTGTCCAAACTCTCACAGAGTCTCGCGTTCGCATGGAGAGTAGTATCAAACCAAACACAGGTTCACTTCTACTCAGCGATGTAACCTTAAACTTCACACAAAATCCCAAGCATGGCTGATGCTGGTCTAGATATTCAGGTCGCACAGCACTGGCCAATCAGAATTCGACTGTAGTTGCTAACCCCACCCCATCCTGCAGGCAGAGGCCGACTTGGCACTCGTAGCCAATCCCTGCGCTCGGTGGACAGCCGTAAACGAGAGGACTCTGATAAGACCCGCAGCGGACAGCAGTCTTCGCAAACAGGTAAGAAGACAGGTGGCATCAGCCTCCTCTGCTGCTTGGGGTCACACACACACATACACACACTTGCAAGCATTTCACTCACTAGTCCACATACAGGGGAGTAGACTGGATGCGTATGTGGCTATGGCCTTGTTTTTTTATGCTTCTGTCAGTGTGATTTATGTTTTGTTTGTCTTTGTCATGTGTATTATGGCATGGTTCATGGAGGAACATCGAGATATCCATGAATCATGGACACCATTGCTTACAAGGAAGTTAAAAGTATTTTGAAAGGGTCATAACCTCTTATTATGAAACAAACGAGAACAAGGCACACCTTGCTTGGGGGTGGTGATGTATGATTTGCATGCTTCAATATAAAAGACATATTGGACTAATATGATGGAATCCCGAGTATTTTGTCTTTTCTTTGTGAGCACTGCATGAATTTGTCTTTCATTTTTACAGTTACACCGATATGAGCCTGTCACTTCAAAATAAATAAAAAATTCTGCTATTTCATTCCAATGTGTTACAAATCAGAAATCACAATGAATTAGTAAATAGAGGCTGTGGCTTCATATTTAAGTTGTACATCAAAAAGTAAAAATCAGTTTTTCTATGAATCAGAACGTATATTCAAAAAATGCTGTGCACGATTTTACCAATGTTTATGTTACTTTCGGAAGCAGCATTAATAATATGTACACATTTTTATGCAAAATGCTAAAATAAATGGTACACAAACAAGTTGCGTACTGATTGTTTCAGAGATTAAATAAAACGCTCATGTATATGCATATTATTAAATATGTGTATGCAGGGTTTTAGTATGAAAACTAAAACGTTTATTGCCCCTAATGTTGTCAGAATGAGGTGAAATCCTTCCCTCCTTATCACGTTTCATTTTGACATTCAATATCATTTTATTGGACACTCTTGATTCTCCATTTCGTTCCACTTGATGTAATGATAGCCTAACTCTTTCTATTGGACAGCCATGTCAGTCCATATTAACTATTGGACTGTCAAGACAACCAAGTGCTTCCTATTGGACATTTAACACATGATTCCTTGGCTTTCCTAGTTGCTCAGATAGTAAAGTCTGATCTATTGGGTAGCCTTGTGAAATCCTCGTAGAGAAGGCTGACTTACATATCCCAAAAATTAAAGCATGAACTTCTATTATGGGTAAATGCTGAGGATATGGAGTCAACGATGAAACGATCTTCCCCTGTTAAATAAGGTGGCTAATCCCGCATGCTAATTAGTTTTGGCCCTTTTCCTACCCTTTCCTCTGCTCCCTACCCTACCCCATCCCATCCCCACTTCCCCCCGTCCCTCTCAGTGGATCCTCCGTCGGGTGGGGAGTGGTCTGTGTGGAGCGTGTGTTCGACCACGTGCGGTGAGGGCTGGCAGAGCCGCACACGCCTATGCGTCTCGGTGCCGTACAGCACGCAGTGCAGCGGGCCGCTACGTGAACAGAGACCCTGCAATAACACTGTTGTGTGTCCAGGTAAGCACAGCCCACCTCAGGCCTCTCCTCACCCCCACCATCTTCCTTATCCACTTCCCGTCACCCGTCCCACCTTCACTCAGGTCCATTAGCTTTGCCCACTCACCCTCCAGCCGCGGCCCACCTGAGGCTAACTCTTCCTGGGCTTCCATGTACGGCTGCTCCCCCCTCAACCCTGGATGCTGGAGAGCCGTGGTAAGATGATAATTGGTTTAAGTGCAGCATTGTCAGCAAATTCCCTATAGTTCCCACTGCATGTAGGATGGTCTCTCTCTCAATCTCTTTTCATTCTACCATTTCAGCATCTCAGGGGGCTAGACAAAAGTGTTACCTAGATAACAACGTGTCTTGCCAAGCTCAATGTTGTATTACGTGCTAATCACTTTATGCAGAAAAAAGAATGATTTGCTCTCTAACATTCAGAACTTGCAGCCAAAAATGTTGCTTTTGGCATACTAAATGTTCCATGTAAATTTGTGTTTTATACTACCTATAGATCTCTGTTCACACTGACAGCTGTTTTTTGCTGTATTGTTGGCAGCTAGTACCAAAGCCTCTTGGAACAAAAGTCAGTTCACTTGGCGGCTATATTTGCAATGTGGATCCTGGCGCGCAAGATCGAATCGAATGGGGAAAATCTGAAATCTCAAAAACTGGTTGATCAAAAACTTTCTGGTTGATCAATGCCAATGCACATGCGCAGCCCTAAGCACGAGTCTCAGGTCTGGTTTCTGTGGGAAGTGGAGTGTCTAACAATAGCTGCAGGGCAAAATGCCTAATAACTCTTTTATTTCGATGGCGTCACTCCTATTACTAGTGCCGCCATATTGTGTGTTGCAGTTTTTCCAATTTATAGCAATACGAGTGAACCGTCTTGGGCATCATAGTCTTTCCTAGTAGGCGTTCCTGTCATAACATTATTTGTGGGCTATGTAAATGGTTATAGGTTCTGAACATCTGATCACAAATATGATGTATTGCAGGTAAAAATAAGATGTTCTTCTGTTTGGACAGGGAATCAGTTTTCTTGCTGCTAAAAATGGAGTGGAAAATGTTCGTAAAATTGCAGCAATACATCATATCATGAACAAGATGAACAATGACCAATGCATACTGATCGATGTGCTCCAATGCCTGCACTCCTATTGGTAGTCTTCCCATTACGTCGCCTCTCATTAAACTTTTCTCAACTTTATATCATCCCAAAAACTTACTTATGCCATCAGGAAATCGGCAACTCACGTTGAAAATAAAATTAATTCAGATCGTTGTCAGTGTGAAACCCTCTTTAGTTTCACCCTAGTGCGTGTGTGTTTGTGTGTTGTCGAGGTGCGTTTTTCTCTCTATAAATCATGCCCTAGCCGCTCTGATTACAGTGCACGGGTCATGGGATGAGTGGACTCCATGGAGCTTGTGTTCTTCAACGTGCGGCCGTGGGTACAGGGACCGCACTCGCTCCTGCAAGCAGCCGCAGTTTGGAGGAAACCCCTGTGATGGTCCAGAGAAACAGACCAAATTCTGCAACATTGCTGTATGCCCAGGTGATCTTTGGGTCTTTAAATACAGACTGTCTCATACAGATTTAATGACTTTCATCAAGCATCACAATTAAAGCCTAATGTGAGGCACTGTAGAGAAAGAGATTGAAAGGAACCATTGTGAAGTTCACAGCAAATGATGGTGATTAAGTGAGGCTTTAAATCACTGTGGACTTGACTAGAGTTTGGCAACCCAAAGCTCCTCTCTCTTTCTCCTGCAATATATCTTTCAATAATGTCCCCTTATCATGCTCCACTTTAAGTTCCTCTCTTTTGTTAACCTAATGTTGCTTTGTATCCTCTATTCTCACATTTAAAAAATTCTCAGAAACTTTGTCTTTTACCTTGAAGTGGATGGTGTATGGAATGAGTGGTCCAGCTGGAGTTACTGTTCCTCGTCCTGTTCAAATGGAACAATGCAGCGCACTCGGGAGTGTAACGGGCCCTCGTATGGGGGTCTGGAGTGTCAGGGTGAGTGGCGTCAGACAAGAGACTGCTTCCTTCGAGAGTGTCCTGTGGATGGCCAATGGCAGCTCTGGAGCTCTTGGGCTGGTTGTACCAAGACATGTGGTGGAGGAAGCCAGCAAAGACAGAGGGTGTGTTACGGTCCCTTTTTTGGGGGGGAGCCATGCCCAGGGGACAGAGAGGAAGTTAGACGTTGCAATGAGAAGAGATGTCCAGGTGAGACAATAACATGTATGTTGCCAAAACTCATTCTCTGCTAGGGGTGACCGATATACTGGTAGACACAGTAAACTGGTTGAAATTTTAAAACTGGTATACATTTTTGATTACCATCTCTATCACGGCAGTGTTGCATGTTTTTTATCCTTTTCATGCGTTTTTACATTTTGACACTTTAAACTTTGGAGAGATTTTAAACCACTATAGCACAGTAATATGTGAAAGAGGTCTCAATTCAGTACTTGCACACTGTTCTGATAGATGGTTTTATTTCTGAGAGACAGTTTAATTAAAACAGTCTGTCAGAACAGTGCGCATGTATTTAATTGAGACGTCTTTCGCAACTTATTGTGCTGCCTGTCACACAGCATGAGTACTTTTTTTTTTTTTTGCAGTTTATTTCACTCAAACAGTCAAATATACACAAAGTTATGTCAAAATGCCTGTCTTAAGTTAGAACATTAGGCCCATGTATTAGTTCTTAAAGTGACAGCAGCCTAATATACCTGCTTCATGTCTTCAGTAGGCTTGAGAACCTTTTACTTGTATTAGGGTTGGGCCGACAGATGATTGATAGATTGAGCCGGCATCGTGATTCCTTCCCCCCCACTCCCTTTTCCGCAATCCGCTGCATCCAAATTCCATTTTCGGAAAGGAAATGTAATGTAACAGGCTACCGCTAGCAAGCGACTAACCATGTCCCTTTAGTGGCTCCGTAGAACACTTTTTTTTCCCGTACCTTTCTGAATACGGATTCACGCTTCAGGCACACCCCTAACTCTGTAGACATCGCCCAACCCTAACTTGTATTAGTTAGGCTAGTATTGGTTTTTGTTATGGCATTGACATAATTAAAAAATATATAATTTTAATGGCATCTAAAATGTTGGCATTGTAACAACCTTATTTGCAGCAAAAATAACTATATATTATGATATATACCATTATCGTAAAAATACAGTTACTCTTTTGGTTATATCACTTACCCCTATTTATAGACTTAACAAGAATTATGTTTTAATTTTGTACCTTACTTGTTTCTTTGTTCACATTTTGTGGCATTGGTCAGGTTTTTTCATATTTAATGACTTCTTCGTTTTTATGCAGAGCCGCATGAGATCTGTGATGAAGAGAATTTCTCTAATGTAGTTTGGAAGAAAACTCCTGCAGGGGACACTGCAGCTGTCCGCTGCCCTCCGAATGCTGTAGGTAAGACATGACTCATGCAAACAGGAACACGCCGCAATAACTTCCTAAACAGTCATCACCCTCTAAGCTATTCTGAGACATTTTCAGGACCATGGACAGCTCCACAAGCTTGGTTTAAAAAAGAAAACCAACAAGACAACATGCAGTATACAGTTTTTAACCGATCCTTGTTCAAAATCTGGTAATGACGACCCATTTCTGTGATGCAGGACTAATTCTTCGGCGATGTTCGTTGGATGATGAAGGCATTGCATACTGGGAGAACCCAACGTACATTAAATGCGTCTCAAATGATTACCGAAGTATTCAAACATTGGTAGGTGATGTCCAAACTAAGCTCTAGCTAGTAAAAGTGTCTGCAAAGCTAAGGTTGATTTTTTTTTACCTACTCAAGACCAGAGATCATCTGTCCAAGGCTCAACGAGGGCTTGTGGGAGACGGGGTCTCTGAAGTCATGACCAAGCTGAGGGTGACGTCAAGTGATGGAACAAGCTACAGTGGAGACCTTCTGGCTATCATGGACATACTGAAAAACATGACAGAGATATTTAGGAGGTCCTACTACAGCCCCAGTAATGCAGACATGAGGGTTAGTGAAGCATTATTTGCTTAGTTCTAAATAAAAAAAAAACAGTTTTGACCCAAAATGCCCCTGAATGTTTCTCTGTCATGTGGTTTTGTTCACAGAATTTTGTGCAATCAGTGAGTAACTTACTGATGGAGGAAAACAGAGAGAGGTGGGAGGAAGCACAGCTGGTGAGTCAGCCTTCACTCTCTCTCTCCATGTCTGTGTGTTTATTCATTCACTCATTCATTCTTCTACTCACTCATTCATCATTCTCTCATTCCCTCTTTTAATGTTGGCATCGTCTAACTCTCTTTCATTTAGTAATTATGCAAGTTTCAGCTGGTTTTAAAGGTGATTAATTGGCTAATTCTCTTCTCTTCGCTGCACATCTTTCTTTCAGCTGTTTGTCTCCTGCTGTTTAGTTAGATCATTAGTTAGTTTACAATTTATGTCTTAACGCAAGCTTCAGTTTACATTCTGAAGCAAGGATATCATTAAGCTTGAGCAGCAGCAGTTATTTTTAGAAAAATCTAATATTTATTACAATAACATTTCAAATCCACTTACAGAATCACATATTGAAAGAAGAACGAACAAACATTTTAACATGAAGCTATGTTTTTCTTTCTGGCAGCTTGGGCCCAATGTTAAGGAGCTTTTTCGTCTAGTGGAGGACTTTGTGGATGTCATCAGTCTCCGCATGAAGGACTTCCAGGATACTTATGAGGTCACCGACAATCTGGGTCAGTTTTCACTGACATTTAGTTCAGTTTACACCACTGCAATAATGTCGAGGGTGATGGTCATGTACTTAAGTGGTTGAATGTTTGGACAGGCAGCCTAGAAGTTGAAGCTACAAAGCCAAAAAAGAACTGGAGAACATGAAGCAAATTGTACTGAAATGTAATAAATCATCTGATGAATGGTGTCCAGTACTGTGGAAAGGTCTTTTAAAAGGCATTTTTAAACATTCAAGGTGTGGGGATGTATATAAATCTTCATGGGTGATTACCTATGACCCTTTCTCATAGTTTTAAATGGCTGTAATCTTTTTTGTGCTTGTGCTTTTAATTACAACACCACAAAATCACCTATATATATTTACATTTACATTTACATTTACATTTAGTCATTGAGCAGATGCTTTTATCCAAAGCGACTTACAAATGAGGACAATGGAAGCAATCAATATCAACAAAAGAGCAATGATATGCAAGTGCTATGAAGTCTCAGTTAGACTAACGCAGTATATATATATATATATATACACACATATACACACACACAATGGCATTGAAATGTTTGTCAGATTTTAAAAAATCAGTAAGATTTTTAAATGTCTCTTATGCTCATAAAGGCTGTATTTATTTGATCAAAAATACTGAAAAAAAGTGATATTGTGAAATATTATTTAAATTTTTAATATTGGTTTTCTGTTTCAATATACTTCAAAATACTATTTATTTATGTGATGCAAAGCTGAATTTTCAGCACCATTACTCCAGTCTTCAGTGTCACATGATCCTTCAGAAATCGTGATATGCTTATGTACTATCATTGTTGAACACAGTTGTGCTGCTTAATATTTTTTTTATAACCTGTGATAATTTTTTCAGGATTCTTTGATTAATAAAAAGTTAAGAACTGCATTTATTAAAATAGAAATCTTTTCTAACAATATAAGTCTTTACTGTCACTTTTTATGTCCGTTTAACACATCCTTGCTGAATAAAAGTATTCACAAAAGAAATAAAAAATTTTGACATTTTTGATATTGTAACACAAGATTTCTATTTTGAATAAATGCTGTTCTTTTTCATTTTTTATCCATAAAAGTATCCTGAAAAAAGTATCACAGGTTCCAAAAAAATATAAAGCAGCAAAAACTGTTTCCAACATTGATAATAAAATCAGCATATTAGAGTGATTTCTGAAGGATCATGTGACACTGAAGACTGGAGTAATGGATGATGAAAATGAATTTGCTTTACAGGAATAAATTATATTTTCAAGTATATTAAAATAGAAACTGTTATTTTAAATTGCAATAATATTTTACAAAATTAAAATTTTAATTTAAAAACGTTTAAAAACATTAAAAATCGTACTGATCCCAAACTTTTGAACGATAGTGTATATAATTTGTTTAATTCAAATCAATTTAGGCATTTGATGGTGCTGAAACAGATGATCAGTTGAAATCACCACCAACACTATTACTCACACACACTTTCACACACCTTGAACATTTTCATATTCATCAGAATGCAGTAACAGACAATATCCCTTTGGAAATCATGACCAATCCCTGAGCAATGAATCTGATATGTTGCTCACACTGATTTCCAAATATGTATAGCTCTAGGCATTTTTATAGCTTTGGAATCACACTCTAAACCACACACATCTCTCCTGCATACAGAACGGACTATGGTTTACTCAGCACCCAGGTTCGTAAAAACAGCGGGAAGATGAACCTTCATGGTCATACGTTGTGGGCCGCAGCTGGCAGAGTTTAAAAGGGGGTGTGAGAGGTTCTGTTTACCTCTGAATCACTGAGCTGCCCATGAGCTCAGATTCTCCCTTTGTGACAACACCTGTCCTACAGCAATGACCTATCAGTCCCACACAAAGCTTTGAGATGCAGATGTATATGTAACACCACACATTCATCAATAGATGGAAAATAATGCACAAGAACTTGAACTTAAAATATGAATAGTACTGTACAGAGTTAGTAACAATTAGCACACACGTACATTGATCAAATCTGGCCTGCCAGTTCCCTTCTTTTTCACCAAGTAATTTAATGTATCTGCTGCAACCTAGATTTCGATGCAAAAATGTGACCCAGGACCACAAAACCAGTCATAAGGGTCAATTTACTGAAAATGAGATTTATACACCATCTGAAAGCTTTCCATTGATGTATGGTTTGTTAGGATAGGACAATATTTGGTCGAGATTTAACTATTTGAAAATCTGAAATCTGAGGATGCAAAAATCTAAATATTGAGAAAATCGACTTTTAAAGTTTTCCAAATGAAGTTCTTAGCAATGCATATTACTAATCAAAAATTACGTTTTGAAATATTTATGGTAGGAAATTGACAAAATATCTTCATGGAACATGATCTTTACTTAATATCCTAATTATTTTGGCATAAAAGTACATTTGATCATTTTGATCCATACAATGTGTTGTTATACCTGTGCTACTTATGACTGGTTTTGTGGTCCAGGGTCACAAATGTGATGTCAGGACCATGGCCTAGTGGTTAAAAGAATAATTTTGTGAAATATTACAATTTAAAAGAACTGTTTTCTAATTTAATATATTTTAAAATGTCATTTATTCCTGTGATGGCAAAGCTGAATTTTCAGCACATGATCCTTCAGAAAACGGCCGATTTGTTGCTCAGTAAGAATTTCTGGTTATTATCAGTGTTGAAAACAGTTGAGCTGCTTAATATTTTTGTGGATACTGTGTTTAGATTTTCAGTATTTTTTAATGAATAGGAAGTTTAAAAGATTAGTTTTTTATTTGAAATATATTTCCTCTGTGCTGATGTCTAGTTACTGTATTTATATAGTAGAAGAAAAACATGATGTCTAACATTATGTAGGCCCTGTATCTTGTAAACACAACTTCTGAAGCTGAGATTAATTCGTTGGTTACTTGGTTACGTTGGTTAGGCAGTGCACATTTCTGTATAAATCATACGTAAAACCACTGGTATGTAAATTGTTCCATCACATTGATGTGAAAAGTACAAATGGCTTTATAAAAGATTTGCACTGATTTATTTTTCGAGTTTCATAAATAAAAATGCTTCTTTTCCAAGTTTCAAGAATTCATTCAGTGATTAAAATGCTGTCGTCGTGAAGTGGTACAGAGAATATGGCTGGCAGCAGAAGGCTGAGATCATAAGAGAATGAAATCGAGCTTTTGAGCTGAGAGAGTTTGTATGGGGGAGTCATCTGACAGCATGACACTTTCTCTAGTTGAGATGTGATCGCTATGCAGTGAGTCAGGATATTGGTGTTGCCATGGATCTTACAGTTCCCTCTGGATTCTCTCTCCAGTGTTGAGTATTCACAAGCGGCCTGTCGCAGGAAATGCAGATATCACTTTCCCCATGAAGGGGTGGAGGGGGATGGTGGACTGGGCTCGCAACTCAGAGGACAAAGCCAAAGTGGCTAAAAACATCCTGGTCACTGGAAAACCAGGTAAGACACACAAAGTCTCACACAACTGCACACACATATGCTTGTAAGCACTAGTGGCCTAGTGGTACACGGACACATTGAGCCTTGGTGCTCATATGGGAAGCACAGGTTTTTTTCCCGAATTCATAAAATGTAACAATTTTATCAGTAAATTCCATTTTTATGCCTGTATTCTACTCATTCCATTCCCTTTTTTATCTCTGAATAATTTAATGTCTCTTCTCTGTTTACTCTAATCAAACAGTAGAAAACTGCATTCGGAACAAATCTCTGCTTGTTTGACGGATTTTATCTCCTTCGCTAGAGAGCTGATTGCTGTAGGCTGTTTAATCCTTGCCATGTCCGACGTTACAGGTCATTTAAGATGCTTCTTCCCCCGCGACTATGCTAATAGAGGAGTTGCTACTTAATCAGGAGTCGGCAGGAGCCAATCACACGCAATTAGGTTTAATTCCCTTTCCCATTGGGAGATCTGTTGCCATGCCACCAGTGCTGGATTGACAGGTCGTCAAGCTTTGGACATGCTGGGATGAGCTTTTATATTAAAGATGATTTAGAATGAGAGAGAAATTTGATAGACTGAATCCAATGAAACACATTGTAACAGAACAAAACACATTCTTACACAGGTTCTGCTCTTGAAAAGAACACTTTATGATTCTTTCGCCTACATTATTCATTCACAAACAAAACACCACTATTAAAAAGTTGGCATGAAATTAAAACTATTAAAACCTGATTTTTTCTAAATGCATGTTACAGATCTTATTGTTATGTAACAATTCATCTGTGAATATGTTTTATCAATAACCTTAATCTAAATACGTAAATGTTATAGTGTTAGTTTGTTGTTTGAAGTCATGGTTGAAATAAAAATGATTAAAAGTAAAAATGGTAAATTATGGTAAAACTATATATACATTTAGGTAAATAAATTAAATTACTTAAGAGGTCTTAAAATATTAAGCAAAAAGACATGAAATTAACATACTGTAAAAAACATATTTTAAATTAATTAAAAGATTATTGGAGTAAGTTTTACTATAAAATATTATTTCCGTCTTTCTACTTCAAAAGTGCACATTTAATTCAATGTGTTACCTGCTATTTCTTTGTAATTATTTGTAAAATTGACTAGCAATTTCTGAGTAAAAATTGTTTCTAAGTAATTTTTTTTAAGTTCAATGTAAATAAAGAATTCTTGAGAAAATTACAAATTTCAATGCAGCTTGAAATGTTCAAAATGTAGGTTCTTTAATTGTTATCTTAACTGTTTTAGACTAGTCAGAACAGCATTTTGGGGAATTCTGTTGGTCTAACATGGGTTTTTATGTAGTTTCAAGTAATTCACATTTCTTTGTGGCTCAATGGTCCCGTAAACTGGAAAATATTTTGTGTGGACTTGAAAGTCTCAAACTCAATTTTTTAAAGTTAAAAACTTTTTTTTTTAAACAATGTACATTCCTCTAGTACCTTGTGTTGTCCATAAATGCCCTCTCGGGTCTCATCTGTTCGCATTATCATGGCTTTGGTGTATTAAAAGGAGGGGAAAAGGGGTGGGCAAGCAGAAACCCGATTACCTCGAGGGAGCTCAAAACTGTCACGCCCCCAGCCCCCTGTCCCCCTCCATCGGTCTGTGTTCTTGCCCATGGGACCTCAGCTGCAGCCCTGGAGCTGTGGCCTCTGCCCGCCGCCTGGCACCCCCCCACAGACTCTCACTCTTTCTCTCCCTTACAGCTCATGCCAGTCTGCCACAGGTTTTGGCATGATGTAGAGCAGTGTAGCTTGAAGACCAGATGGACTTTGTGTGTGTGTGTGTGTGTGTGTGTGTGTGTGTGTGTGTGTGTGCATTGTTTCAATATATATATATATACACAGAGTATATATGCATTACCGTTCAAAAGTTTGGGTTAGTAAGATTATTTTAATGCTTTTGAAAGAAGTCTCTTGTATGCTCACCAAAGCTGCATTTGTTTGATCAAAAATACAATAAAACAGTGATTTTGGTAAATATTATTACAATTTGCTGTTTTCTATTTGAATATATTTTAAAATGCAAGTTATTCCTGTGATGGCAAAGCTGAATTTTCAGCAGCCATTACTCTAGTGGCACATGATCCTTCTATCATTCTAATATGCTGATTTGCTGCTCAAATAATATATATTTTTTTTATCAATATTGCAAACAGTTGTACTGCTTAGTATTTTGTGGAAACCATGAAAAACAAATGTCTTTACAGTAACTTTGAAACAATTTAATGCATTCTTGTTGTATAAAGGAATTATTTTAATATTTTTGTGTAAACCATGATGCATTTATTTTCTCCAGGATTCTTTAATGAATAGAAAGTACATTCTTGCTGAATAAAAATATTAATTTCTTTAAAAAATAATTCTGATCTAAGTACAAATGGCTTTATAAAAGATTTGCACTGATTTATTTTTCGAGTTTCATAAATAAAAATGCTTCTTTTCCAAGTTTCAAGAATTCATTCAGTGATTAAAATGCTGTCGTCGTGAAGTGGTACAGAGAATATGGCTGGCAGCAGAAGGCTGAGATCATAAGAGAATGAAATCGAGCTTTTGAGCTGAGAGAGTTTGTATGGGGGAGTCATCTGACAGCATGACACTTTCTCTAGTTGAGATGTGATCGCTATGCAGTGAGTCAGGATATTGGTGTTGCCATGGATCTTACAGTTCCCTCTGGATTCTCTCTCCAGTGTTGAGTATTCACAAGCGGCCTGTCGCAGGAAATGCAGATATCACTTTCCCCATGAAGGGGTGGAGGGGGATGGTGGACTGGGCTCGCAACTCAGAGGACAAAGCCAAAGTGGCTAAAAACATCCTGGTCACTGGAAAACCAGGTAAGACACACAAAGTCTCACACAACTGCACACACATATGCTTGTAAGCACTAGTGGCCTAGTGGTACACGGACACATTGAGCCTTGGTGCTCATATGGGAAGCACAGGTTTTTTTCCCGAATTCATAAAATGTAACAATTTTATCAGTAAATTCCATTTTTATGCCTGTATTCTACTCATTCCATTCCCTTTTTTATCTCTGAATAATTTAATGTCTCTTCTCTGTTTACTCTAATCAAACAGTAGAAAACTGCATTCGGAACAAATCTCTGCTTGTTTGACGGATTTTATCTCCTTCGCTAGAGAGCTGATTGCTGTAGGCTGTTTAATCCTTGCCATGTCCGACGTTACAGGTCATTTAAGATGCTTCTTCCCCCGCGACTATGCTAATAGAGGAGTTGCTACTTAATCAGGAGTCGGCAGGAGCCAATCACACGCAATTAGGTTTAATTCCCTTTCCCATTGGGAGATCTGTTGCCATGCCACCAGTGCTGGATTGACAGGTCGTCAAGCTTTGGACATGCTGGGATGAGCTTTTATATTAAAGATGATTTAGAATGAGAGAGAAATTTGATAGACTGAATCCAATGAAACACATTGTAACAGAACAAAACACATTCTTACACAGGTTCTGCTCTTGAAAAGAACACTTTATGATTCTTTCGCCTACATTATTCATTCACAAACAAAACACCACTATTAAAAAGTTGGCATGAAATTAAAACTATTAAAACCTGATTTTTTCTAAATGCATGTTACAGATCTTATTGTTATGTAACAATTCATCTGTGAATATGTTTTATCAATAACCTTAATCTAAATACGTAAATGTTATAGTGTTAGTTTGTTGTTTGAAGTCATGGTTGAAATAAAAATGATTAAAAGTAAAAATGGTAAATTATGGTAAAACTATATATACATTTAGGTAAATAAATTAAATTACTTAAGAGGTCTTAAAATATTAAGCAAAAAGACATGAAATTAACATACTGTAAAAAACATATTTTAAATTAATTAAAAGATTATTGGAGTAAGTTTTACTATAAAATATTATTTCCGTCTTTCTACTTCAAAAGTGCACATTTAATTCAATGTGTTACCTGCTATTTCTTTGTAATTATTTGTAAAATTGACTAGCAATTTCTGAGTAAAAATTGTTTCTAAGTAATTTTTTTTAAGTTCAATGTAAATAAAGAATTCTTGAGAAAATTACAAATTTCAATGCAGCTTGAAATGTTCAAAATGTAGGTTCTTTAATTGTTATCTTAACTGTTTTAGACTAGTCAGAACAGCATTTTGGGGAATTCTGTTGGTCTAACATGGGTTTTTATGTAGTTTCAAGTAATTCACATTTCTTTGTGGCTCAATGGTCCCGTAAACTGGAAAATATTTTGTGTGGACTTGAAAGTCTCAAACTCAATTTTTTAAAGTTAAAAACTTTTTTTTTTAAACAATGTACATTCCTCTAGTACCTTGTGTTGTCCATAAATGCCCTCTCGGGTCTCATCTGTTCGCATTATCATGGCTTTGGTGTATTAAAAGGAGGGGAAAAGGGGTGGGCAAGCAGAAACCCGATTACCTCGAGGGAGCTCAAAACTGTCACGCCCCCAGCCCCCTGTCCCCCTCCCTCGGTCTGTGTTCTTGCCCATGGGACCTCAGCTGCAGCCCTGGAGCTGTGGCCTCTGCCCGCCGCCTGGCACCCCCCCACAGACTCTCACTCTTTCTCTCCCTTACAGCTCATGCCAGTCTGCCACAGGTTTTGGCATGATGTAGAGCAGTGTAGCTTGAAGACCAGATGGACTTTGTGTGTGTGTGTGTGTGTGTGTGTGTGTGTGTGTGTGTGTGCATTGTTTCAGGTGGTTCTGCTGGCAGTGATGCAGTGTGAGTGTTACAGAGGCTGGACCGCTGCCCTTTCCCCTCACTCACGCTTTTTCAACTGTGTTGCTCTCTTCATTTGCACAAGAAATATCACTTTGTCATTTCAAACCAACAGGCCAATTATGTGTATCTGTTTATACTTGTGTGAGTGATATCTGCAAGTTTAGTTGCATCACATGATTTGATATGTCTTGTTTAGTTTTTCCTCTTAGTAGTTCCTCCTATAATATTAAAAAAAGAAAGACTGAGGGTGTATAGTCATAAGATGCATAACTAATGTTGTATGTCACCTAAAGATTAGAATATTAACTATGATGTTATAATAATATAATATAAAATAAAACTTCTAAAGAAAATGTGGTACATGTGATACATGAAAAGTTAGCCTCACTTTAGCCTATATATATAAATCATAGAACTTGTATAAGATTTAATTAATTAATTAATTAATACATTTTTATTCAGCAAGGATGCATTCTTATATTTATGACTTTTTTCATCCCAAAAGAAAAAAAAGAAAGAAAAAAAGATAAAATATAAGCCTTAGTTTCTTTATGTAAAATATGATTTAATTGCTGGTTCTGATTCTGGGGTGAAAATTAACCTAAATATTTACACACATATATATATATAAATAAAATGATACATTGAAAAGTTACCGTTCAAAAGTTTGGGTTAGTAAGATTATTTTAATGCTTTTGAAAGAAGTCTCTTGTATGCTCACCAAAGCTGCATTTGTTTGATCAAAAATACAATAAAACAGTGATTTTGGTAAATATTATTACAATTTGCTGTTTTCTATTTGAATATATTTTAAAATGCAAGTTATTCCTGTGATGGCAAAGCTGAATTTTCAGCAGCCATTACTCTAGTGGCACATGATCCTTCTATCATTCTAATATGCTGATTTGCTGCTCAAATAATATATATTTTTTTTATCAATATTGCAAACAGTTGTACTGCTTAGTATTTTGTGGAAACCATGAAAAACAAATGTCTTTACAGTAACTTTGAAACAATTTAATGCATTCTTGTTGTATAAAGGAATTATTTTAATATTTTTGTGTAAACCATGATGCATTTATTTTCTCCAGGATTCTTTAATGAATAGAAAGTACATTCTTGCTGAATAAAAATATTAATTTCTTTAAAAAATAATTCTGATCTCAAACTCTTGAACACTAGTGTGTGTGTGTGTGTCTGTGTGGGTGTGAGTGTGTGTGTGTGTGTGGGTGTGGGTGTGAGTGTGTGTGTGTGTGTGT